TTGGGTATCTTCCCCTGCTTTTTTTTTTTTTTTTTGTTAAATATTATTTTGAAATCATATGGTTTCTAGCCATATAAATTTTAACTTTGCTCTCCTTTTTATCTGAGGGCAAGGGATGGTGCAGGGTGGGGGGTGAGTTTTTTGTTGTTTTGTTTTTGTGGGTTTTTTTTGTTTTGTTCTTTTCAGGAGCCTTGTGGGCCAGGAGCGAATCAGATTCCAGCCACACTTGATGGTAGAAGTCTGATTTTTATTATTATAACAGAATTTATTTTCTTGAGCATTAAACGAATTTTAAGCTGTGAGGGGAATTGTGGCAACAGCCTAATCATTGACTCGGGCTTCCTTTCCTTGGGTGGCTTCTCTGCGGTTTCTTTCTTGGATGTTGGGAGAAGTGCCAGCCTTCCCTGAACCGAGCAGTCCTCACACACGGAGGGATCTCTATGGAGAGGCACCTGGTGCCATGGAGGATGGGATCGTTGGAGCTGGAATACAGGGAGAAATATACTTCTCATCCCTGCAGCGGGGTCTTTTTTTCGTCTGGCTGTGCGTGTTTTTCTATTTTTATTTTTTAATTAAAACTTGTTTTAATTCCTGCGGAGAGAGTGTGGGACTTGAGGAGAAGAGAGGGGCGCACAGAAACGGGAGTTTGGAGTTCTATCAGAGCGATGGCTCTTGCTCTCTCCTTCCCTCATGCAACCCCAAGTAAGATCCACCAATACATGCACAATCCCTTCCTGCCCTCTCCCATCCGTCTCCCCCCCTTTCCCCCCCACTTTAGTTGTTTTTAAATATAATTTAGGAATACTCAAGCTGCTTTGTGGCACTTGGGGCTTTGAAACACAATGATCACCACTGCGACCTATGGCCTGTAGCAGACACACTGTCACTGTAGTGTGGAGCCGATGGGTTGTTGGCAGGGCGGGGAGGGTGGGGTTAGTCTTTGTTTTGTTTGTTTTTACCCTTTCTATTTAACACTTCATTTTTCCTCCCTGTTTTTTTCCTAATTTATTTACCCCTCTTACTGTCTCTCTCTTTTTTTTAATTAAAGAGCAAAACTTTTTATTACTTTGTAATTTAAAAAAAAAAAAACCTGAAGAACTTTGGGGGGGATTTTGTACTTTTTTCCTGTGTAAATATTGGACTTTTTTGAGCTTTATCGTGGTTGTTAATTTGAAGTAATAAAGTAGAAAATGATAAAGTGACGCCAGCATCTGTCATTTCTTCCTTCACTGGCCCTGGTATCTTTGCTGGGAGTCACATCTTACATGCAGGAAGCACTGTCTTGCAGCTGAACCTGTTTCTGAGTTCCAGGAACAAGTTTGATCAGAATTACTGGAAAAAAGGCACAGGACTGGAGCGCCTAAAAATAAACCTGAGCTGATCTCTGCAGTTACAGCCTTGGAACAGGCAAGAGTTATGTGAAATCTGATTCAGGATCTCTTGGTTCCTGGATTTGAGCCTCTGGCGTCCCGTGCATCTGGCCTTCAGCAGGAGAGGGATGGGACTGTCTGCACTGTTGGCTTTGGGTGTGCACTGACTTCAACAGAGGTGGACCCTGGATTATGTGTTTTCTTGCTTTCTTCTGTCTTATGACTTAAATCCTGAAGGAATGGGAAGAGGAGGGGCCCGGGTATCAGCCCTGAGCACCTAACACCACCACTGTGCCTGATGAAAACAGGCTGAACTCCCTGTGAAGTGGCACCTGCTGCTTTGGTGTCTCTGGCAGTGTGGTTTGTTTGGGTTTCCCTCCTTAGTTGTCTGACCTGTCTGACAGTAAATTACTATATTTTAATACTGATTTACTTCTAAATCTCTGCTCCTCTGCTCCTGTAGTTATGCGTCCCTGCATTATCCAGATGAGAGGCCTGTTACTGCCAGGCTTTCTAAAACTCTTGAAACTGATTTTCAGAAACACCTGCTGAGAATAAATGGACAGATCTTGGTGACTTCGGAAATTCCTTCCAAGCCTGTTCTCTGCCAGCTGAGCAGGAAGAGCTGCTCCTTCATTTCCCTGCTGTATGAGGCTTCCAGCTTCTGAGATGAGAGAAGAGTAGGAGGGTAGGGAAGAAGAGGGTAGTTCAGGGGTATTGTACTGCTGCCTCTAAACTGCATTTGTCCTGCCTCCATTTTGACTGTGGTTTTGATGGATCAGAATGAAACTGGACTTTTTTCCTTTGTAAATCCTGTTTTCAGTGAGAAAGAGGAACAATGCCTGTGTGGAAGACAACACCCCCATCACTGCAGTGTGGTGCAGGCAGCAGAGCCATGATCTGGCTGGATTCAGGAGTGATTGCCGGGTTTCGGGTAGGAGTACTGTCTTGTGACAGAGGGGAAACATGCTGCCATTTTGGGAGGTGTGGGGTAGCAGCTCTACGGGTGCACCTGTGTTTCGAGAGGACAAGTGTCCTAAAGCAGTAGGAGAAAAGGAGAAAGTCATCAGGCATATCTCAGACGGGATGTCACCTCCTCTTGCTCATGCAGCCCTCTGTGCAGGCACTCTGTGGGCTTATTAAAGGTTTTAGGGTTTGGTTTGGGGCTTTTAATTTTTTTTATTTTTTTTTTTTTAGATTGAAAATGCCTTGTTTTGGCTCGAATAGAGGCACCACTTTGGTTTCCAACGCCCGTATCTATATGTACGTTTTTTTCCTTGGGGAGTTTGGGGGACGTTCCCAACAGCTCTGTGTTTGATTTTTTTTTTTTTCCCTCGGAGTGCGGGCGAAAACAGCGCTGAGATAGAGGTGGAAATATGCCTCGGGGGGAATCTTTCTCAGGGCAGTGCTGTCCTTAGCCGGCCTGGTGGGGGGAGAACGCTGCTGGAGCGCCCATCTCCGGGAAGCTCATCCCTCCTCCCGGCGCTGCGGCAAACCCCGAGTCACCCTCCGGGGCGGCCCCGCCCCTTTAAGAGCGAGGCGGTGACGTCACCCTGCCCCCCTGAGCGCGGGCGGTGGGCGGGGCGCGCGGGGCCGTGCGCAGGCGCGGAGGGAGGGCCGGGCCGGGCCCGGCGTCGCCATGGGCTCCTGAGGCCTCCGCGCCCCCGCGCCGGTGCCGGCGCCGCCCGCGGGGCAGTGGGGCAGGGCTCGACCCGACCCCTCCTCGCCCCACCGGGCTGGGCCGCGCCCGCCCGCCCGCTGCAGGGTAAGACGTGGCGGGGGCAGGGTGGCCGCCGAGCCGAGCCGGGGCGCGGGGGCGGCTGCGGGCGGGCAGGAGGAGCCGCGCTGGTGAGGGGGTGGCTCGGTACGGCCCCCGCGAACTCGCTCGCATCGTCCCGGTGTGGACGCGATCTCCCTCCCGCCCCGATCCCTCCTCCCGCTCCCCGGCGTCGCCCCCGCGATCCCCGCCGTGCGCTCCCCCCAGCCCTCCGCCCGGTTCCCCCCGGCGTGTCCCCCCTTCGTCCCAGAGTCGCCCCCGCCGTTCCCCCTCCGCGCACGTTCCTCCCGCACGGTCTCCGTGCCGACAGACACGCGCGTCTCCCCACAAGCTCCCAGTGCAGCCCGCACAGCCTTCTCCGGATAGTACACCCCCGAGGGGATAGTCCACCTCCCCCGGTGCAGCCCACTCAGTTCCTTCTCCCGCCCGCCACATGTCCTTGCTTCAGCCCACCCTCCCACTCCCCCCGCACACACACGTACTGGCACAACTCCCGCGCTCCCCGGTGCTGTCACGCTCCTGGGTGGCATTGGGAGGATGTCACTGTCCTGGCGCTGGGTGGGCTGGGAGCACAGTAGACCACAGCAGGGTGGTGGGCAACAGGTTTGTGTTTGCTGTGCCTCCTGTGGTTCAGGCTGAACCGACTGACAGACACCGTATGCATGTGCTGGTGTGGTAGGTGTGTGTGAGCAGACTGTTGCTGTGCCTGTGTTCTCTTGCATCTCAGGTGAGTTACAATTGGTCTTGTTTGGATGCTCAGTTGCTCCATGAGGGCTAACTCAGCCTTGACAGCTGCAGTGTGTAGTGGAAGGAGGGCTTTGGAGGAACGTGTGCGTGACTGGGTTCTGATGAATTGTGGAAAGGGACTAGAGTGGTTTCAGGCACAGCTTTATGAAAGCTGCCTGGAGCACTGTGAAGCTGTCAAAAGTGGGAGGACAGGAGGAGTGGGAAATCTAGAGGAAATACTGAAGATGGTTCCTGCTTACAGAAAGTTTGAAACTGTTCTTGCCATGTAGGGAGCTTGAACAGGAATAATTATTGACGACATAAAGACAGGTTTCCCCAGAAAGAAGACTGTTTACCTCTGTCAAAGATAAAAATAGAAAGTATTGATCAATAATGGAGTGAAGGCTAATAGGATGAATAGAAATGTCTTTCTTATCCTGCGAGAAAAAGAAAACAATCGATGAAAACATAATAAAGCATACATCCCACTAACAAAGACTCGCCTCTTTTAATACAGCGGTTAACTGTGCCTTTAAACTTGTGTTGCTGGATGTTACCCTTGAGCTTAGCAGCCTCCTTTAAAGGGAACACAGATTTCTCTAGAAATGTTCATGTCATTCAGGTTTCTAGTACTAAAGGTTTGTATTTGTGTGGTACTGTTGAAAAAAGTAAACTCTCATGCTTTTAGGATGTTGGCTAAGTGCTAAACAATAGGGCTTTAGGGAGAGCTTTGGTATTCTCCAAAGGCCTACTTCAGGCTTTTTTGCACCATTGCCCCCAAGAAAATGGGCTTCAAATCTGCTCTGGTTTTTAGGAGCAGATTTTTAGGTCCTTGATACCATCATTGTTATGGTTGTGCTGTAAACCTTAAGTGGTATATATGCAGCAGGTGGGTACCTCTGCATCTGGAGCAGGAGTGATGTGGTCTTGCTGTAAAATGATCAGGAAAGCTTTACTACTGAAGTCAGTGCTTCTAACCAGCTCGGGGGTGTGGGCAGATGTTTTTCTTTGTATTCTGTGCAGGTTTCTACAATCAATTCAGAGTGCTGGACAGGTGGTGTTTTGGAAATGTGGGGCAAGGGGAAGAGCACCTCCCAGCCCCTCAGACAACTTTTGTACTTTTGCTTGTCTGTCTCCTTGGGATGTGTGGCAGTTAAAAGGGGAAAGTTCTTAGATATGCACAAGCTGGTCAGAATATGAAGTTCAGTGTGACTGGCTGGTTTGGCATAACAAAAACATTCTGAGCTGCCTAGTCTCTAACTATTTGACAGAATCCAGCTAGAAATCTGCGTTGTTCTCTGTTGGCTTGTTTGCCTGTTTGCTGGTAGCAGGCTGGGAGGTGAGCTTTTGCGGTTTACAGTTGTGGGATTAGGGTTCTTCTCGTGGATAAAGGAAGGGTGGGGTGGTTTCTTTTCCAGTTCAAATTAACTTTTAAAACAGTATCCCCCTCCCAAAAAAATAAAAAGGTAGTCCCTAAAACTAAAACATCTAATAATCATATTTTGATGTAGATGACAAACCTTTGATTTCCATGTGACCCTTCACTCCCTCTCCCCTCCTGTTTTTAGTTCATGTTTAATTGGCTTATGTTTGCTGTGATGGAGATAAACTCTTACCTGCTCCTTCTAGCAGAAGTGCCTGTTTCATTTTCCAGCAGCTCAAAGGATATTCTTTGAGCTCTTGCAGCTGTGGGTGGTGGGTGCAGTGAATTCCTCAGGAGATGTTTATTGTTTGGTCCTAGCCGCTTCAAGAGCCCAGTATTGTATTGTTCAGAGTACTGAAGTTTGAGGTGAAATACGAAGTTTCAAATCAGACTTGTTGATTCTGAAGAGCCACTTCTATGACTAGTTTTCTCAGTGTTTTCATCCTAAAATCGAGGAAACCAAGGAAAGCAGCAGTGAATGTGCAGGGTAGCTTGCCTACAAAATGACGAGGATAGTGCAGCCTCAGAGAGAAATTGCGCTTAACCTTTGTACAGTCGAGCTTTTCTAGTCCAGGACTGCTGCTGGCTCTCTGTGTAACAAAGCAGCTGTGTATTATTGAACGGCCAGGGCTGGGGGCAGAAGCTTTTTGCTGTTTTAGTGATTGTGATTGATTGTACTCGCCGAGGCCCTGGAAATTTAAGGTGCTGTAGAGAGCAGCATTGTGTTTGAGTTTTGAGCGCTGACTTGCCCAGCTGTTTGCTTGGAGCAGTGTGTGTGTTGTGTGCTGTTCTCGCTTCTTCCCAAACTCTTTGGGGTTTGCTTTCTTGTGGTGGAAGAGTGGTTTCCTGCCAAGACATTACACCCTACCAGAACACCTGAGACTCTGAAAGCGGTTTGACACTGATAAGATGGATTAAAAGACTTAGGTAAAATAACTGTAAAATATTGTTGTGAATGGACTGAAAACACCCTTATGGAAAGGGTTTTGATGGTGGGGGTTTTTTTATGGACTACTTTTGGAGAGAGCAGCTGGACATGCTCTCAGAGCAGCAATTCCCCAGGATGGTTTTGGAAGGGAAATTCTGCCAGCTAAAGCAGTGAGTTGCAGCCACCCTCAAGGAATCTCACCTCAGAGTCTCCCTTCTCTAGGGAGAGGCAGGGCACTGGAGTACTTGCTCATAGCCAGGTTCTGTCTAATCTAAAAGTCAGCTCAACCTCCATCGGGTTTTTGTGATTGTGTAAGTAACATGTCTGGAAAAGCAACAGAGCAAGCTGTCTCCAGGGAAAGTGCAGTGTGTAGGCAAGCTGTTCAGGAACTGTGCTGTATCTGTGTTTGACCAGGTCTTTATAGCCTCTGAGGGGCATAATTGACAGGAAACCTGAAAAGGGAAGTAACTGCCATGCTCTCCTTGCAGCATTAACCCCCAGAGTACCTGGATATTTGTCTCACCACTATTAAGTGTGTCTCTGCATTGAAAGGATGGGAATATTGCTATTATTATCTTATAGTCATAGTGCCTAGGAGTATGATGATGCTGAAAGGATCAGCCATTTGAGGATGTTGTATAATGGGGGGTGACCAAGAGCATAGAGAGATGGTGTCATGGCCTCAAATTTTTTGTGTCTAACTGGAAAGCGTTCCTCTCTGCCCAGGTATGGTGTACATGTGGCCCCTGATCAACTCTGTGGAAAAAAAATTAAAAAAGGTCCTTCTGATTCACAAAGAAAATGACTGCAACATGTTATGTAGTGCAGCAGTGAGGCTTCAAGAAGATGAGATGAAATAATACCTTAAAAGCTGACCTTGCCGAGCCAGTGTTCCCTCCCCAGGCTGCAGAACATGTCATGGATGCTATTGGAGACTGCTGAGCTGATTGCTGGGAGCCTGCAGCTGCCTGGTCATCTCCAGCACAGATACAGTCTAGGCAGCAGTAATGAGCATACCTGTGCCTCTGTCCAGGTTGCTTAAAATTAACCTGGACAAGTCAATCACCTGAAGAGGCAGATTGGAAGAGTGAATTTCTCTTCATGGCTCACCACACCTTGTCTCCTTGCCAGTTTTGCTAGGAAGAGCTGGTTAGTGGTGGGTGAAGCTATTTGCAGCTAATTGTCCCATGGGAGCTGGGAGTGACCTCACTCCTTCTCCAAACTCTCCTTACAGACTTCCTTCCCCCCTCCCAATGACTTTGTGATGGTGCTGATTTTATAAGAGTCATAAGATAGAAATTATTTATATAAATTCCCATTTAGGCAACTTCCTGCAATTGGGTAACTTAGTGTTTCAGTGTCTGGAAACATTGGGTTGAAGTTTCATCTTTTTTTTTAAGCGCACCCCCTCAGTTAGATGTGTGGAGTATTTCTTTCTGTATAGAGAAAATGCCTTGCTGTTGATGGCTTTTGGGATAGAGAGGGCAGATGTTGGAATCACCTCGAACTGTGTTTTAGTAGCTGTTGGCATCTGTCAGCTTCTAACAGTACCGGTGACTTCTCTGCAAAGCTCTGTGGTCAGCTTTGGTGCTGAGTCAGGAAAGGGGGAGCAGCTCCTAGCCACTCCTGTGCTGTAAGTAGCCTTTGGAAGACGATGCTGGGCAAGATTTTCCCCTCTGATGCTGCCTCTTCTTCCTGTGTTTTAGGCATCAAGGGTGAGAACGGTTTCCTCCTCCAGGCATTGCCTGTGAACTTCCAGAAGTAATCTTTCTGTAAGAGAAGTGCTGTGTCTGGGCTTATTCTTCAACTAGCAAAGCTGTAATGCTGATATATCTAGGACTTGGCATTTTTGTGTGGGGAGGAACTCTCCCATGAATCCAGGAATACAAAGGTTCCAATCCTGCTTTCAGA